GGGCAGCACAACAGCTCAGGGGCAGTTTCACAGAGCTGACCTGTAGTATTGGGGCAGCACAAGGGCTGAGGGGCAGTTTCACAGCACTGTCCTGTAGTATTGGGGCAGCACAAGGGCTCAGGGAAGTTTCGCAGAACTGACCTGCTCTGATGAAACACAAATAAACTGCTCCTATTTACACAGACGGGTTCACTGGGAGGGCTGCCAGGATGGTTACATGCACCCCTGGGGATAAGCAGTTAGAGAAGAACAGTCAGTGTCAATGGGAATCGGTTAAGTTTGCGGATGAATACATTTATCTTGGCCAGAGAAACAGCCTCATAGAGACAAATAAGCAGTTCATACTTGAGCCTGGAGGTTTAACAGGCTATGGGCTTATCCCAATTTCTGTAGCATTAAGTATAAAAACTGTATGGATGGGACTGGTCAGTCGCAGGTTAACGGCAGCTCTGGTGGTACCTCTTTAAACAGCTGGAGGGACTGCCACCACCCAGAAGACAAAGTAACAATAAACTACAGCATCTATCATGCCAGCAGCCATATCACTCTGCAACTCACAAGTGGCAACCCACTGAAGCTAAGCAGGTGTGAGCCTGGTCAGTACCTGGATGGGAGACCTCCTGGGAAGAACTAACGTTGCTGCTGGAAGAGGGGTCAGTGGGGCCAGCAGGGGGCGCTCACCCTGTGGTCTGTGTGGGTCCTTATGCCCCAGTATAGCGATGGGGACACTATACTGTAAACAGGCGCCGTCCTTTGGATGAGACGTAAAACCAAGGTCCTGACTCTCTGTGGTCTCTTTTTTCTCTGTGGTCATTAAAAATCCCAAAGAGTAGGGGTGTAACCTCAGCATCCTGGCCAAATTTCCCATTGGCCCTTACCAATCATGGCCTCATTATTCTCCTCTCACTCCCACTGATAGCTGATCTGGGGTGAGCGTTCTAGTGCACTATGGCTCACCATCAGGTGAGGTTGCACATTGGTGGTGGTGGAGGGGAGTCCCCATTACATATAAAGCGCTTTGAGTTGAGTGTCCAGAAAAGCGCTATATAAGTGTCAGCTATTATTATTATTATACGTGAAAGAAAATGTTGGGAACGGACAGGGGACTCTGGGAATGTGGGAAAGCGGGGGAAAAAAAAAAAAGAACAACTGAAGATTAAGACACAGATAAATTAGGCTTGAACTGACCACGTTTGCAGAATGAAAGCAGAGAGTCTAGAGTCTCTGGATGACTCAAGAAACAACGGGAGAGGAAAGTGGTGGGTAGAAAAGCTAAAGAAGAGCAGAAAGGCTGGAAGAAGTTCAAGGAGCTCAAAACCCCAGCAACTGGAGACCACATAAGGCTATTGTCCCACAGTGGTCAAACTGAAGAAGCAGGTGGAACTGAAATTAAGAGAAATGTCTGGCCGTAAAGTGCACACAGTCCCAGGGTCCTAAATTCCTCTGGCTTCTGAGTTTGTTTATTGGGGGCGGGGGAGTGCTTTTACTCAGTGCTACCATAGAGAGAAACAGAACAAACGAGCAGGGTGAGCTGAATGATCTCCTCTGTCTGACAGACTGATGACAATGTGGGCATGGTGAACAGCAGAAGTGTTCAACAGGAGTTCCTCACAGCACCCCAGTATAGCTATTGCTTGTGTTTTAACTGGTTTTTATATTTCTTATTGTGCCTTGCTAGCTAACGAGATGTAAGAGCAAGCAGTTTTCTGGAGGACAAGCTGGTGACATCCCTCAGCAGTCCACAGTCCACTACAGGTTTGAAGATTCACCATTCTTGCCGCGTCACACAAACTACTTTTTATTTTCTCTGTTCCAATGCCAACCGTCTACAGTACCTAACTTGTGGCAGGAGCTCTGCTAATGAATAAAATAACAAAGACTTCAACATTTCATGCAAAATAAAGCAAAAAACCATGCAAAGACGACATTTAAAAATTGGAAATCTGAAAAAAAAAAGCAAAATTAATGCCTACTGGCATTACCATAGATGTAGTCTGGACTTGTAAGAGAAGCGGTCAATTTTGTCTCTAGCACTTAAGTAAATGGGTTTGTTTGGTGGGAGATGTTACTCACTTTTTAGGAATTCCAAAAAGTGACGAGAGAGATTTAAAATGCCTAAATGCCTAAATGCCCAATGGAACTACAGTATGGCAAGGAACTGGAGCAGAAGGAATGCTTGCTGATGTATCTCAACCAAAAGTCTACACTTCATGCCTGAATGTCTTGTAGTCCGATTTAATTGTCATCGTACGATAATGTCACTATTATCGTGCTTAAAGTAATTAGATTCCAATTACACTATACATATTCAGCTACGGGGTCAAAACAGTTACTTTGCATTGGCTCATAAGTGAAATATTTTCCTAAACTTTAAGCTGCTGAAGTCAAAATTCAAAATATGGTCGGATACAAATAAAACTTTATGTACAGTTAAGGCAATGTATACTAGACTTTTATTTTCAATTTACTGATTGGTTAAGCCTGATTCCTGGGATGCTGAGTCAAGTCGCCTAGCCTATGGTCTGTGCCAAAAGCAGGACTCAGGTCCTGCTGCGTACGACTGTGCACACGCGCTGGACATACTCCTGGTGGGACGAGTCGGATTTCTAGGATTATTACCTTTCACTGTGTTGATTACGTGCTCGAGCTGCTGGGGCTCATTCCGGTCGGGTCGACAGCTAGGGCTGATCTCCAACACGTAGTCAGGGCCGTACTCTGTGAAATACTGCAGGACACAGAAGGAGCAGTCTTGAGAAAAAAATGTTTCAAAAAAAAAAGATAAGGGCATATATGCATCACATACGATAATATACAGGAAATACACGGCAAGTTCCAACGTTCCTCCTGTGCAGCTGGCACAGTCACCAGCTGGAAGTAATAATTCCACAGGAGTTGTTAGGGGAGACTCGGATTCATGCCAGGGAGCAGTTTCACAGCTATAGTTATCAGAAGACACCAGTGTCAAGCATAGTTTTGCAGCAAGGCATTGTTACATCTTCTCTCAGGAGAAGAAGAGCAATGCAGAGATGTCAAGACAGTCACAGCAGTACTAATGAGCAGTGACGCAAAACATTCTGGATTGCATGACTGGATTTTCTGGCTATTGCAAGGAAGTGTGGTAATCATACAGTGCCTCCAGCCAAGCTTACCAAAATGGACAGCCTGGATTGAAATCTCCCAGCTCTGAGCTGCGTGACTCACTGAACAACAGGAGGAGGCTTTGATATTGTATTCACCCATTCATGAGCCCCAAGGCTTTTCTCAGGAAGAGCCAAGGACAGACAAGTGTGTGCAGCAGTTCTGACAGCAGGCAGCTGAGCCTAACATGGAGGAGTTGTGACACGGAGGAGATACAATGTGTGGGTGGTTCGTCGGACTGCTCGGAGCCACACAGACCTCGCCCATCATCACACATTAGGTCACCAGACCCCAGCACTTCCTTGATTGTGCATGAGCTGCAGCAGAGCTGAGAATTGACTATGGGGCTGAGGGGACAATTGAAAAGGGAGGAGGAACTGTAAAACTAAATGGGAAGGAAAATACCTTGTCTACAACACTCCCCAGAGGCAATGCAGTGGAAAAGGTGAAAGTTCTGACACCGATTTCAATCCCATAACAGACCTCAATGCCAGGACAGTCTCTTTTGAATACAGATTATACAGGGGAAATGGAAAAAGACAGCCTATTGTTCTTGAAACAGATAAGTTTTGTCTAGACACTGTTTTTCAAGTCTTCTTCTCCACAGACAAATTTAACACATCAGTGAGAATCCCCCTCAATCAGGGCCCGAGTTTCCTTTATTTATTTTGCAAAGGCAGTTGAAAGCCTGCCATTTCCCCAGACCACAGAAGTGACGCGCCCTAGCAAGGGAAGAAAGACCTTGAGCAAAGTATTCCTGGGAAACACGATGAAAGCCAAGCCCTGCAGATCCGTGCCCGTCCCCATCTAAATGGAACTGTCCGGTCACCGTAGAAGAACAATGGTTATTTTAGGAAACTACTCTCATGTTAGCCAGAACGTCTATCCCAACACCCACCTGATAAACTTTAACCTTGAGCCATAGGGAGTGCATCAAAAGAAAAAAAAAACACTGGGAGAAGCAAACCTCTTTTAAAAGCTATGAAAATGATTAGAACCTTGACAAAGGTCCGATACAGTGATACAGGAGGGAAACCAAAAGGCAAATAACCGTCTCCTCGGGGTGGGGGGGGTGTGATCTGAAAGCAAAACTAAGAACCTTCCAATTAATCATACTTCTTCATGCAGGGAAATGCATACAACCTGCCTATGAAATACTAAATACTGTGCAAAACATTATCGAGCAATAAAATCAGAATCTGGAACAGCACAATGAAGTCTTATTTTCATACAGAACTCGAAAACGAGCTTATGTAAATTATATCGGACATCGCATGTACAGTAACAAAAGCATTAATTTTTCTTGTAATCATTTTGCTCTGGTTATCTTTCCTTTGAGCAAAGAATAAAGCCTCCTTTGTTTATCAGGGAGAGGCCAGTATCTTCCAGGAAGCAGCAACAAATTTCCATAACACTGACGGCAGGAAATGGAAATCCATATAATCTTATTAGGGCCATTGAGTTCCATGAACACAGCCTCCCTGGGAGATCCTGCCGTGTCCAACAGCGGAGGATCGGCTCGTACTGCAGGAGAGGCGCTTCCTTTTCAACCATAACGCTCCGGCTTTCCAAGGACGTGACATTGCCTACAATGGCTGGAAGTGATGGGCGCTCTTTCTCTCTTGGAAAACAAACAATAAAAAAAAGGAGCAGGCAGGGAACCACGACAAAGGACTGCAGGAGGAGTGGAAAGAGAGGGCAGGCCTTGAGCCGATACCACAAGCAACTGCGTCAATGAACAAGATGGCAGGATGTGTTTCAGGCATAAACAACGACGGGAGAGGGCGGGCAAGCTTCGGTGACGGTTGAGGTCCGAGAAAAAGAAAAAGCTGCAGCTGTCTGGTAGCAGACGCACATCACTGAACTAGGAACAGGAGCCTCTATCAATATGAATATCAGACAACCACCTTTTCTTATATGTCGTTTATATCGTTTCATTTGTTAATGTTTGTTCACGCATTTAGGAGCTCGAATTGTAATGATTAAGCAACCTAAAAATGTCTGACTGCTACGTACTGTAGGGACAATTAATCATACTCAGAGCAGGGTCTGCCTTCTCCATGCCTGACTTTCAAGAAGCTACACACAGCACTCCTAACCTCTCTGCTCTTCCTTTTAAGAGTCAAATAAGAACAACAATAACACATTAGAGGTAGTAACAATACTGGTAGTCTTATCTGACTGAAGAGGTAGGCCACACAGTTCATGTACAGTATAACACACACAGCGTGGGTAGAGGAGGGTTATTAAGTCCTATCGGCACAGAGTTTGACGTCACTTGAGAAGAACACACCACTACTGGGAGGAAGATGAATGCATCCCCTCCAGCTGTTAGACATCATATCCATATTTACATTCCATATTTTGAAAATACTAAAACCGGTCTTCCATGACAGTAAAGAAAAGGGGTTATTAATATTGATAAGATAACTGTGCGATTTGTGTTGAAATGTCCTCATATAACACTCAGGAGGCCTGAGTGCTCTTTCAATTCTGGCTTTTATTTTTGTGAACGGCAGACTGACACTGCTCCTGAAGTGCAGCGCCTTGAGAGGCTCTCTCCTTCAAAGGGCTGCAGTGGTCTTTAGAGAAACGTGACACCTTTTCAGGGTGATGGAAGCTGCTGGGAGAAATGGAGGTGGCCGATTTGGACTGGGGTGGGAGGGGGCGTGAAATTGGGCCCATCGTCTCGGTGACAAGCGAGAAGCCCATCAGAGGAGGTACAACCACTTGTGAGAGCTGCCACACCAAAAAATGGCAAATGCAGGCACGGTTGTTCCCAAACTACATGGCTTTGTTTTTCAGGACACATTTGGGAACGACTGCAGGCAGAAGCCCTCGTGGGACTTGGACAACCCATTCTTGCTAAAGCTCAATCTCTTAAAAATTTGAGCATTTTTAGGTGGGGGAGGGGGGTTGTTATTTGGGAGGTCAATAAGCCCTTTGTTACCCTGACTCCTTATTGTCCAACACTGAGGGCTTGCCTGCACTGGGGGCTCGCAACGAGGACCCTAGGGCAGCTGGTGAAGTGAAGGGATTTGAGCAGCAGGTACAAAGTCCTTTTTGTTTCCCATTTCACAGTCGAAGGCGATTTCTCTCTTTTCTCGGCTCCAGGCACCTCTTTATCTCCCAGGCCCACTGCAGTTCAGTTGTGTTTGGTGCAAACTCACAGACAATACTCATGAGGATTGGGGGTGGGGGGGTGGATCTTTGATTGTCGCTCATATACAACAAAAGGCTGACAACTAAGAGGCTGTAGAAGAAAAGGAAGAAGCCGCTTTTATCAGGGAGTTGATGGCCTACTAACTGAGTGACCCCAGGTGGTGGTGGTGAGATGGGGCAAGATTCATCTACAGGTATCATTTGCTTGTATGCGAGAGGCACAGTGCAAACTATTGCAAACAATACCTATGCACCAGTTTATGTTTTCCTCTGTCTTCTTTAAAACAAAAACAAAGCAGTAATGAACTTTCTCATAGCACTATGAGTAGATGGCCACAGCTCTGGCCTGATTTCATGCTTCTAAAAGTACAGCAGCTTTCCTTTTTGTTGCTGACTGACCATTGTGGCCATTCGGCTGACCATCTTTAAGACCAAATAAAAGCTCCCAAACATTACTCGATTTCAAAATTTCTGTTTGAGGAAGTCATGTCCAGGTGAGCTACTGTATCTCCAGCATTGATGCAAAGTTTGGATTCTGATTTTGTTCCAGCTTCTTTTTTTTTGGTGTACAAAAATCTGATGTCATATTTTTAAGTATTACTATATATTAACTTTATATGCACCAATTCAAATCACTTTTTAAAAGCGTAAAAAACAGGACCTACAACAGGACAGGCTTTCTTGCAGTTCGATACTTAATCCTACTGTTTGCTTGGGAATTTAAAGTGCTTACGTTCTTTTGTAGAATGAACACAGGACACCAAACTCACTTACCAACTTAAGTTCCAACATGCTCACCATTTAGAGGTGTCTATTTGTATAGTGGCATTAATCAAAGACCTGTATCTTGTTCATTTATCAGTCTCTATACGTAGATAATAATAATAATAATAATTGCTTACACTTATATAGCGCTTTTCTGGACACTCCACTCAAAGCGCTTTACAGGTAATGGGGACTCCCCTCCACCACCACCAATGTGCAGCATCCACCTGGATGATGCGACGGCAGCCATAGTGCGCCAGAACGCTCACCACACATCAGCTATCAGTGGGGAGGAGAGCAGAGTAATGTAGCCAATTCATAGAGGGGGATTATTAGGAGGCCATGATGGGGTAAAGGCCAGGGGGGAAATTTGGCCAGGACACCGGGGTTACACCCCTACTCTTTTCGAGAAGCGCCCTGGGATTTTTAATGACCACAGAGAGTCAGGACCTCGGTTTTACGTCTCATCCGAAGGACGGCGCCTGTTTACAGTATAGTGTCCCCGTCACTATACTGGGGCATTAGGACCCACATGGACCGCAGGGTGAGCGCCCCCTGCTGGCCCCACTAACACCTCTTCCAGCAGCAACCTTAGTTTTTCCCAGGAGGTCTCCCATCCAGGTACTGACCAGGCTCACACCTGCTTAGCTTCAGTGGGTTGCCAGTTGTGAGTTGCAGGGTGATATGGCTGCTGGTATAATGGTCTGATTTAGTTCGTTATGTTCATACAGAGGCAAAACCATCCCAATTTCTCAAAGTAGTTGGAAAACATAAGGTGTAAATTGTGCAAACAACAGATTTATTTTTTTTAAAAAAAGAAGACTGACTTTTTGCTTTTGGGAAGTGGGAACGAGTTTGAAAATTACCCCCTTGACGTGACTCCGTGCTAGAAATGCTGGACCAAAAACGAGGTTAAGGAAAATATCTCCATTTGGTGTAGGTCAGTAAAGTTCAGAGCTTTAATTTACTTATAGTATATCTGCGAGTGTACAAAACATTTAAAGATCGTAGAATCAAGAAGTATTCAGCAGTCTCAATTCTAAATGATTCTGGCCATCACCTCTTTCTGGTGGACACATGTGCAAGGGCTCTAGCTACTGGCAATAAACTCCCATACAGCCCGAGGTGCAAAATCACCAGAAACCTCAGTGGAATTCCTGGAATTAAGTGGAATTAAGCTGCTTGGCATCACCACTGCACCCATAAAACAGTTTGTGGGGTGGGGTAGTGAGGATTGGGCACACTCACCCCAGCATCACTGACGATACTGGAAGCTCACAGGTGACAGCTGGTGCCCATCACCCTGCATACACCCTGGCCAACTCAACCTCAGCTAGCTCCGCCAACTGCATGACTGGTAGCAGGTTTCAATACATTTCCACTGCAGTGAAATGTGGCAAACAGATTTCATTTTGGTGAAAAACTGTAACTAGTTCTTACAATCATTTCATTTGTACTGTATTACAGCTTACACATCAAATATGGGAACAGTGGTAGCTCAGATGACAAGTGCGTCTAGCTCCTGACCGGAAGGTCCCGGGTTCAATCCCAGGTAGGGGTGAGTGATGTAGCTTGCTCTAATTCCTTCCAGAGGGCTCCCGGGTCCACTCAGCCTGCTTGCCAAATGAGTACCGGGGGTTAATCCCTCCGGGGGTAATAGGCCGACCAGAGCGTGATGATGACCACATCACCTCCACCTCCAGTGTCGGACGGTTGACAAAAATGTTGGCCCTTGCCCCCCATTCCCTCATGGGCCTTTATGGCCAGAAAAGGGTACCTAACCTACCTACATCAAATATGAATAAAAGTAGCAGCTCTGTATGTAAAGGAAACTAAAATATCTACAGTATAGCACATGAATTATATTTGTATTTCACCTAGTGAAAGATGACACTATTGTGCTACATTATTATATTTTACATTAACATTTTTAGTTTCATTAAGCATATATCCATTGTCTTTTGAAAGACACATACCAAAGAAATACCAATGCCTGTTGACTGACTATAAACATGCGTACTACAGATGCCAATAGATAGATATAATAAATAAAATAATGAGGGCATACAAAATAATAATAATTAGCCTCTGGAAGGGTTGGGTAAAGAGCATAACTCATCAAGAGTTGCATTGACAAGCCACTAATACTGTTAATTATTATTTTCTAAAATAAAGTAGCAAGGTTTTCTTGAGCTCAAGCAACTTGCAACTGTAGCTGAATATTTTGTCACCCCCTGTGTCCATCGGCCAATGGCACAGCCGGGATTTAAACCAGCAAACTCAGGACTGTAGGACGTTTCCTGTGTACCCAGTGAAAGCCTTGCTGTTTGCTCTGTCAGTATTCTTATTCTATACATATTTTTATTAGAATTGCACAGTTGCTCAGGTGTACTCTAAGGAAGCCCAGAGATCCTGAGACAGGTGGCTATTTCAGGGCCTTCAGTAATGAGCTGATACTACACACAAGCCTACAGTCCTGCACTCTTTACAATGACAGTGGTAAACTCCTAGGGTGGGGTCTCTTTTTCTGCCTTTTTTTTCTTTTGGGAAACCATTAAGAATTTCTTTCATTTAGGTGACCACGAAAACAATTACAGAAAGCCCCTCTTTGTGCTGTGAGGAGAGATATCTCCAGGTTTCTGTCCCTCTCTCTCAGATCAATTATCTGGGAATTTAAAATATCTCCTCCTTCCAAACTTTTTTTTCTCTCCATTTGACTTGAAAAGCCCAGGGTTCTAAGGAAACAAGCAGTCCCTGTGCCACAGGGACAGTGTGTTATTGTTCCCCTAGCCACCTGAAAACAAAACAGTATTGAGAAGAGCGTTTGGGCCCTTGATTAGGGGGAATGACTCAGCACAGGAGAGGCAGAAACAGGAGCTGTGCTGGAACCTTACCTCATGGTCCGGAATCTCCGAGGACAGTGTCTGGCCCAGCACCGTGCCAGTCAGATAGGCCCAGCACCGGGCAGTGTTGGCAAGGTTATAGCCTCCTGTCTCCAGCACAGTAAGAGAGAGAAAGAGAGACAAGCAGAGAAGGCAGATTGAAGTAAATGGTGTCTTTGTATGCGTCTAATTAGAACCTTTCATCTGCTGGACGGATAAGAAGGCTTGAGTGGAGATCTCATTTAAGGAAAGAAAGAAAAAAAACAGTAGAATCACTAAGCTTTTTTTCTGTTTTGCTACTGAATAACCAAACTGCTCATGCCTTTGGACAAGGTAAAGGCCTGTTTGAAGGCTGGAAAGATGGGAAGGGGGTCAGATCTTATTAACATTGGCTTGATGGTCCTGCTGAGTGAGGGCTTGGATGGATAGAGACGTTTTCTAGAAACCAAATCTACAGTCAGCGAGAAGCCTTTTAAGATAAATTAAAAAACAACGACAAACAAAAATCAGTAAAATTGACATCCTATATATTATGTAGAATAACCTAGAGTATGTTCCCGATTACATAATGCCAATACTATCCAGCCGATCTTTGCTATATAGATGTTTTGTTGAAAGGTAGATAACACTTTTGGCTTTGGATGGAAAAACATGTGTAGAATTAAAGGTGAATCCTAAACTTTAAAGCCCAGAAGATTGTAAAAGGATACATTTACATCAGTGGCCATGGTTTGTTTTCCAGTCTTTTTCACACTATAGTGCCACAGAGAGGCTGACCACCGCTCACCAATTTGTAGAGATGCATTTTACGTTTTCTGGTAGGATCAATTCTTAATTAAAAAAGGGTTGCAATTAGCCTATGCACATCCACTGCAAAGTGCATTGATGAAGGTGCTGTAAAAGGGATGTTTGAAGTACAGGAAGTAAAAGCAATGGAATTTCAAAGAGCACATAATTGTTTTGGGATACACGAAGCATTGCATCATGTGGCCCCAAAGGGAGATGTGGAGGAGAAATACCTGCTGTGAATAAGTGAGAAACAGCCGAAGCACCTGCTTGATCTCTTTTTAGAACCTGACAATTTCTGCACGTGAAGCACTTCGCTGCTTTGATGCAAGCAGCCCATTTTCTTGTGGTCCTCTGGGTTAGAAAGACATTGCTAGCATGCACTTTCAGTGGTATATCAAACAGGCTGCTTCTGACAGCACACATTTCCTCATGTCTCAGACAAATCTGTTTCATATTGAGAGCCCTGTTGCCGATGAACGACAAAGGGACTGAGCGTGCCTGAATCGTGCCTCGTTTAACAGAACACACGCTCGTTCACAGCTGGAGCTTGCTCTAGCCTTGGCAGCAGACCAAATGCATTAGTTTGTTTGACCCAGTCCGAAACAGCGTTATTAATAAGATGAATAAGATGAGTGCACACAGAAGACAAACAATGTGTTTGGTGGGTGTTTGTGTGTGTGTGTGGGAAGGGGTTTACCTATAAAGAAAGAGCTAGGGTGTTTTGTTTTTTTCTGAGCATGTAAAGTCCAATTCACAAGTCTATCATGAAAGCTGCACTGCCGAGCACTGAAATCAGGTTCGAACAAATGGATTAATAGGATACGCACAGCAAAAGAGGACATTGAACAGCGTCATGGATCTGTGCACCATGTCCAACTATGCACACAAGCCACTGTGGTTATAAACAGCAGTCACATTGACATGATGTAGATGTACCATCGCTGTCCATGGCAATGTGTTCCCCAAGGTCTCTTGCACATATTCCAAATTATATTGCTCCACTGTGCACAGTTTTCCTAACGCAGCATTTTAAATAAGACAACAAACTTTAAAAGCACACTGTGTTTTGGGAGGGGACAGTGAAAAGTGAAGTTTTGATTAGCATTGCTATTTCCTGTCTGCCTACAGTTTACCTGTCGGGATTATTTTTACACAGGTCAGAAAGAGCAGAACCATAAAGTGCAAAACCTATTAAAGAGAAAATATTACACTATAGGGTGAATTGACTTATTTGATGAGCGTGGATACAATGTTTGTGCAAAGCAGAGATTCTCGGAGAAAAACAGGGATGCAGCCAAGAGGATCTGAGCCTAGACTCTTTGCGTCACCTTTTGCCCAGACATGCAAGATATCCAGCCATGAATTTTGAGGTTCTTCCATTATGAGAAAGCGGTCTTTTTCTAGTAAGGACAACCTGCCAAATACCATCTCCTTGTTCTAAACATTCCTACATTCTTATGACACAACCTGCCCGGTCTCAAAACGCACGCTCATCCGAGATCCAACGCAGCCACTCTTTCTGGGGCTCAAATGGAAATGTCTCCTCTATGGAGCCACGACTGTCAAAGGTAACGATCTGCACGCACCTCCTCCTAGTAAGAGGGTGGGCAGCTCCCACTGCAGCACGTAGCGCAGGCACCGCGCCACGCCGACGGGCGTCATGTTGAAGGAGCACATGGGGTCCCCGGCCATGGTGTCTGCCCCTAGCTGCAGCACCACCGCCTCTGGGTTGAACATGGAGTGCACCTCCTGCAGGACACTGAGGCACACAGAAGACAACAGGCAGACTCATGCAGCTGCAGGGCAACCCAGTACTTCAGCAGCTGCAATCCTGAGGCAACATATCTAAGGAAGACCTATTAGAGCAGTACAGTAGAGTAGGGTCTTGACATTTAGCACTAAACCCTCACCAATAGCTAAACTCTAAAATAACCATGTTCACCCCTATACCTTTACACAATGTACTACAGTATATAACATATGATATAACATTCCCTTATCAAAATACTAATGCAATGACTAAGTTAAAGAACATCAATTAACTAAAAGAAACAGTAACCACAAACTTATTGTACTCAGCTAAAATAAACAACATGAATCCCTCCTCTGTGTCCCGAGGATGCCTGCACTTTCTTCTCTCTGTGCGATTAGCTTGCCCCACTGTAATTAAACGGCAACAAAATGATCAGAGCTCGTAAAGTCATCTCCAGCCTGATGTTCTCTACACAGTGGACACACACCTGGGACTGCTCATTGCAATACAAAAACAAGACCATGCTGAGATGCTGATGCTGGGTAGCTGGGAGGTATGGGGCAGGCAGCGAGGAGAGACTCGCCCACTAGCTAGACTTGTTTGACAATCCTTGTCTGTCGTGTTTCTCATTTCAAAGTTGCAGTTAAGAACCTTCAGCCCAGTTTCATCCTGCTCTGCTATTCTTCCATAGAAAAGCCCATCGCGAATGTTCAATTTACAGATGTCCAGACCCTACTGTACAGTGTCACTTGAACTTGAATGTGCGCTACAGAATTTTTTATGCTTCATCTAGCACACTATTAAATCCTAACAAATACTTAACCCTTTATGTAAATCAGAAAATTATTTTTTACTTCCTAGACTGGCACCGGCATATCAGCAATCCATTCTATTAGTAAATAAAAAAAAGAAATTCACCTTTTGAGAAAGTCTTTTTTTCAGTCTTTGACACACAGAGAGAGGAAAGCGGGGCGTAAAGAGCTTTGGAAGTGAAGGTGTGCCACACACGCAGGCAGCAGAGACCAGCAATGAGAGAGAGCTGACCTGGTGAAGACCTGGCAGTATTTGTCGTCTTGAATGCCATCTTGCAGTGGGACATTGACCGCGTACCACCTGCCCTTGCCAAGCCCCGTGTCCGACACATCTCCAGTCCCTGCGGCAGATGAACAGGCAGTCACTAACACATTCCGTTAAACAAAAAATGGGAACCACCAATTATCACTTCTTTAAAACCCAATTCACCAACTTTCAATCCACATAGTTCATGGAGAGAAATGTAAATAAATCTCTAAAGCATGCAGTGCTGAGTCCCCCCGACAGGAACCACAAAGCTTTCCGTTTTCTCTGTGGAGCTGTATATTTACTCTAAAGTAACAACAAAATGTATCCAGAAGGAAAACACTGGAGATTAGATAAATGTCATTTAATCCTATATTTAACCATGTAGGTCAATTGAGAACAAACTTTTCAGGGCTAAACTGAATCAGGAATTTGCAAAGGGCTGTTTTTGGTTGCACTCTCGAATGTGCGGACGAAGCCAAACTCATGCTCACACCCCTTCTCCATCAGAGGAACTCACCGGGAAAAAAACCAGGCGAAAACTTGTGAAAGGAGACCGTCATGACTTTGGAGGTAAAACTAAAAGCATCTTCCACTCCTGTAACATGAAAAGAAAATAATTTGAACATATGGGACCTTAGGTATTCTTGTCTTCAAATGGAGCAGACAAAAAAATAAACTAATTTAAAAGCAATATGGGTTGACAGATCCCTTGTACTTGGAATTTTCATAGTCCGAATTGTCTTGGGCTGCATGATGGCACAGGGGTTAGCATTGCTGGGTCCTGGGTTCAATTCCGGATATGGAGCGATTTCTGTATGACCTTCCCATTCTCATGTCGGTGTAATCTGCGTGCTCCGATTTCCTCCCACAGTCCAAAAACATTGGGAGATGAACTGGCTTCTTTGAAAACTGGCACTGTGGCGAGTGTGGAGGTGTGTGTATCTGCCCTATAATGGACTGGTGTCCTGTCCAGTGTGTATCCTTCATTGCGCCCATTGCTACTAGCTGGGTAGGCCCTGGCTCTCCCCCCACCTCCCCCACAACCCTGAATTTAAAGAACTGGTTAGAAAATGTATGGCTGGATGAAAGAACTGGCACGGAGAGGAGACTAGCTTTACCGTCACCATGGTGCAGGTCCACGTCCACGTACAGCACCCGCTCATACTTCTCTCGCAGCCTTAAAATACCCAGGACGGCGTCGTTGATGTAGCAGAACCCAGAGGCTTCATCTCTGGAACGGAAAAAGAAACAGCCAGGACAATGGGAGCAGCTAAACACCAAGGTGCTTGATACATTAGAATGAGGTGCACAAGAAAGCTATTTAGAATTCGAACCGAATTTGTTTTGTTTTTTTAAATACTCAACATCCCCAAATCAGCACACTACACTTTAAAAAGGGAAAAGATATTTTTAGAAGAGGGCGCCTCCGCCACGCAAACAAAAGTTAGGGGCCGACGTGATCCATTCCACACGTGCAACAGGCCTGCAAGACCCGTGGCCTGGTCCAGATTTTGCTGTGGGAGTATTTGCTTCCTTGTTGACATCCGTGGGAAAAGGGCAAGCTGACGGCCAGCTGCTTTTCTCAGGATAACCACAGTGCTCCGCAGGGTCCAGGCCTGAGCTCCGGCATTCATTTCCAGGCAGGACAGTTTCGGAAGAGGCGGAAAGCTCTTTCAGTCGCACACATGCAGATATTTTTCCTGATGACTCCTGAATCCGTTCTCTGGATTCAGTGTCAGATCCCCTACAAAACCACAACTGTTCCAATTATCTGCAGACAGACGTCTTTGCAGGAATCAAGTCTCATGGTATTTCGTATTAAACCCATTTCAAAATTCCTCTCCTAGATTCCAGTACAGTCCTGAAGTGACTTTTACAGACTACTCTAAAACTGCCAACATTGCCTGGCCTTTATGCTGGCTGATCTTTCAGTTCTCTGTGGTTCAGAGATAATCCTACTGCTGACTACTAGAAGAAGTTACAATTCATTATATTGAAGTAGTAGCTGGATTATAGTTGTTGTATCTGCTGAGTAAATGTTCTTGTCCGCACCAGACTGTACTTTCTACTGGTGAAGTACACACTTATCAACCTGGTACTGGACCAGATGTAGTGTTTGATATTTGTCTTCTTGCTCTTTAAGGCTCCCAGACTGACTGCTACTTTGCTGAAAGCAGACAAACAGTGCAATGTTCTGCAGGGGTAAGCGGCAAATTGATCTCCTGGCAATTACAACAAATTTACCAGTGCTTGTTCACCGATTCACCTCGAAGCACACTAACCTCTATGTGTCAGAATGAAAGGAGGAAATGTGGCCCGGGTTTCTATTTCAGCAGAAAAGAGGCAGAGAACCAAAGGGAACGTCTGTGTTTCACCAGCTCTGAAGGCACCTCCTGTGCACTGCTTTTAGTGAGAAAGATGTAGGAGCAGTAGAGGGACCTTTTGCTTGTCTTCAGGTCACAGGACAGAAGCTCCCACTTGCAAAGGCCCTGGGGAGTCTCTCAACTGACCAGGGGAAACCATTTAGCTGGTGAAAGAGGGGCTTGTTGCAAGGTTAATGGACACATTTGAGAAAGGAGCAGACCCAAATGCTGACCTTTAACACAGAGCGCACCCTTCCTGCACCAAACCCAACGCAATGGGCCAAGATTCAAAGGCAACAAGCTGTCGAGGCCTCGAATTCCAACAGAACATGGTCTGCAACCATTAAAAGATCCTACCTGAAGACACAGTCTGCCTGCCCCTTCCCCATAATTCCCCATGGCTGTTGGCACAAGAGATATACCGAAGTATACTTCAGAAGCTGAGCCTACACACAGTGGTTTTGTTCAGTTTTCCTTCAAAACAAATACAAGCTTCAACATTTTTTGCCACTTTAGGATTTGAGTTCATTTTCATCCAGCTGCAGGCAAGCAGATATCTGACCGAGTAGCAGGCAAGTAGGTGGATAAGCTTCAGAATCAGGAAGAGCTTTTCTGAAAAGTGTCAGAACTGAAAGGTCATTCTAGCCACCAACACAAAGCACTGTTTTGTTGCTCAGCTTTTTTGTTTGTGACTTGGAATTAGAAAAACCTGGAAACACAAACCACAGCTGAATCCAACTCAGACTCCATTTCTACACCCACCAAGGCAGACCAAGCCTAGTGGAATGGAAGTTTCCAAAACTTTTTTTTAGCTACATCCTTGGTTTTTTTTTTATGAGTCTAGTCAGTATATTCTCTTCATCAGTCTGCCTGGTGTATCCTAATGGACAGAGCTCAACCTTGGCAGTCTCTGCCTAATCTCGGTAGATCTTGCTCTAGCATACAGAGGAGGAATCAGTCTGATGTCTTCCAGTCAGAGGGAAGCCTGAGGTCAACATGGCGCTCTGCAAGTAGATTGTAAGAAAAGCAATAACTAGCCATCACCTAAACAAAGGTGGGTTCTTTCACACCTACACTCACAATCCTTAAAGGCGCCAAGAGATTTAACCCCGAGCAACTACTTGAAGCTCATCAAGCTTGTCCAGAGGACAAATTAAAATCACGTGTAAATGCAGATGGGGAATAAAAAAAAAAAGATGTCTCTCCTTCACATAACGAGCCCTCCAAGCTTGGAATAAGCTACCTAAGAAGCTGTGAAAGGTGATCCACTGGGTTTCCACAAGAAGTAGCTCAGTAAGATTCCCTGGAAGTCAGGTTGTGAGCAGCCAACCAAACAGGAAGGGAAGGACGGCCTCCGTATGCTGTTGCATCTTTGTCAATCACAGAACAAGCCTTACCCACAGCCACAGCCTTACTTTTTTGCATGGTGCCAGCCTCCCGCCCAGTTGATCGCGACCTTACACGTCCCGTCTATCAGGCACTGGGCGGCCGTCAGCGTGGCTCCGCCTACTGCAGCGGCGTAATCGAAAATCCCTTCCGTTGCCGGGCAGTCGTAACCTGAGAGGGACGGCCGAGAGAGAGAGAGAAAGAGAGAAAGGGAGAAAGAGAGAAAGAGAGAAAGGCAGTCACGTTAAACAGCAAAGAGAAGCAAGCGTCCTGTCTTCAGAGTCCCTGCGGCATCCAATACAGTAGCGTTCCTTGTGTTTTCCCGGTTCTCATTCCAGAAGGACTGTTTATTAATTAGTCTTAATGAGAAGGACAGATGTCGGTATTAGCATGAACCCTGTGCCAGAAGCCATGTTTCTGAGCCTCTCCCATTAAGGTTTGCCATATCAACAACAGGTGGTACGTCTCCCAACAAGTTTATGCATCACTCAGAATGATTGTAATGTGAGTGTGTACCTCAGTGTTATTCCATCTGTTCCTATACATCTTTAATTGATGATCAATTAGGAGTTCTTCAGAAAACATCCCAGTTGAAATATATCTGCGTGCTACATTTCCTGTTTCTTGAAACCAAGTCCTGACTCTTACAATGAGTCTTAAACAATTTTACCTTATTAAGACTTCAGTTGGAGTAAAAATATGAAATCAGAAGACCACAGGGAGTTCAGGCCCAGTCATAGAGACCTACAGACCTGCCGGTTTCCATGGACACCGAGCTCTTTCCTAGACTCAACCAACAAGCTGCTTGGTTGGAACCTTAGCAACCTTTTGGTCACAACCTTTTTTTCCCCCTAGATTTTAAATTAATTAAGTTTTAATATATGCCATACAGCAGTTAAAAGCAACTAGCTACATGTCTAGGAACCGAAAACAATAAAAGATTCAAAACGAACCTATTATGAGGTCTCTGAAGAGTTCAGTTATTTAACTGAGTGTTACAGTGCTCACCCACATTTTAAATACAGTATATAATTGGGAGAAAAGGCCTCCACATCACCAGAGGCTTGTTGTAATTCCTGGTTCCTCTAGTTTTTTCCCCTGAGTGGGGAAAAGCTCAGCCATGTCATAAGGCTGTAATCAGATACAGGCCTCAGGTGGAAGAGTTTTTAACCCAGCAGACCTCAAACCCATCCTAAAGTTAGTAGAAATGTTCCAGCAAAAATGTTTGCATTAAAGATGGAAAGCAGAGTATCAAAATACCCAAAAAGGAAGCCATTTGGCTTGATTCTCTTGAGAAATTAATTCATCCTCCTCTAACAGGGTCACAGAGTTGGCTAGACTTCATTTTGGAAGAAAATGAAAACAGCATACACTAAGAGGACTTGCATAAAGTTTTCAATGTTTATATTATCAAAGGGGTTGGGACTGAGTGTTCTGAAAAAAAAACATTAATCCACCTCATGTCAGTTACCAGCTTCTAAAATACAATAGAAAGACACTGATATTTCCGGAAGACATTACTCAGATTTTTCTTTGCTTAGAAAGGAAAGATTTCCATTGTACTCCCTATTCTTAGCAATGCTAATTTTAGGCTTCCTATCCTGCTCTATGCATTCTGTATGCATTACTTTAAAATAAGGCTTGTCTCTTTTCTTTTGCCATTATTGAGCCAAAGCTCTTTGGTTTAAGGGCATACCAGGCCACAGTTTAGTTTATCGTGGTAATGCTGTGGTTTGGCAGACCTGCTATCTTCCCCGCAGAGTCTCCAAAAGGTCATCACTCACTCTCATGCAATCCAGCGCTTCCTGGGTTTTTTAATTGCTTTGGCGCCCTCTACTGGACAAACCCTGGAGAATCTGCATCAACTCAATCTGGTGAAACCCGGTCCAGAAACTAACCTCTTTTCTGACATGTATTCGGATATTGGAGACAAAGTTAAAGACAATAACAAGGACAAAGTTATTATTCACAAGTTAAATCTGACAAGATCACAAACTATAACTTCCCTCCTTATCCGTTTTGATAAAGACACAAACAGACAGGCATTCAGGAACATTCTGAGAATGTATTCAGCTGTAATTTAAATGATTATGGACTTCAAACAAAAACAAAACAGTAGCTTAATAAAACCTCCAGCCATGCTCCTATTATGCCCTTCCTGTTAGAAATACAGTGGTATTGCTCATGAAAGACTTGTTTGTCTACAGGAGTTCATTCTAGCTCACTTTCTAACAGTCTAAACCAGCTCATTACTGGCTCAACTGGACACGGTTAACAGCTTCTCCCAGCTCTTCAGATCCTGCTTCTTTACCGAGACACAGGAAGTCTGCAGACACACTGGCCCTCCATACCAGTAGGTTCATAGGTCCATACCTACTGGACCAGGATGGGAGAGTCCAGCTTTAAAAGGTTTGATCAATGCCCCCCCTCCATAAACCCCAGGCTGCGCCCATCTGCTCTTACCCAGCCCATACTCCACAGACTCGGGGTCGTCGTCGTCGCCTTCCTCGCTGACCTTGTGCAGGTGCTCCAGGTAGGAGTCGGTGTGGAAGGTGGCCATGTCCTCCATGGTGGCAGCGCGGGGCTTCACTACCCTGCGGCAGAACAGGGACAGCACGCGGTCAGCCAGCCCCGGGCGGCCGGCTCTCGCACAGAGGCCAGGTCCCGGGCAGGAATCGGACCAGGGCTCTCTCAGCAGCGAGCGCAGAGAGCCTGGAACGCACTCAGGTGGCACTCGGTGGAGAATGTGCTTCTTTTTTTTTCTAATTCCAACAGAAGAAGCATTTCTCTCCTAACCCATATTCCATCCATTTTCTAAGTGCTTTATCCGGTATGGTGGGGGAGCCGGAGCCTATCCCAGAAAGCAACAGGCACGAGGTAGGATAGACACCGCAGGGCACACACAGACACTAACATGCACACATTCACACCAGAGCCAATTTTCCTGAAGCCAGTTAACCTACGGGTATGTCTTTGGACTGTGGGAGGAAACCAGAGCACCTGAGGAATCCCATGCAAAAGCAAGAAGAACATACAAACTCCACACAGATAGCACACCAGATCTGGAACTTAACCCAGGGCGAATCAGCAATGGTAAGTACTGTGCCACTCTGCCACCCATTCTGCTATAGAGCCAGCAGCCATATCCCCCTGCAACTCACAACTGGCAACCCACTGAAGCTCAGCAGGTGTGAGCCTGGTCAGTACCTGGATGGGAGACCACCTGGAAAAAATTAAGTTGCTGCTGGAAGAGGTGTTAGTGGGGCCCATAGGGGGAGCTCACACTGTGGTCTGTGTAGATCCTAATGCCCCAGTATAGTGACAGGGACACTTTACTGTAACAAGGCGCTGTCCTTTGGATGAGACATAAAACCAAGGTCCTGACTCTCTGTGGTCATTAAAAATTCTCGAAAAGATTTTCCTCTGGCTTTTACCAATCATGGCATCCTAATAATCCCCATCTATGACTTACTTCATTACTCTGTTCTCCTCACTAATAGCTGATGTGTGGTGAGTGTTCTGGCGCCCTATGGCTGCCGTTGCATCATCCAGGTGGTAATTCAAAATGCTATGCCAACAAGCTTAAAAGCAACAACCAGTGAAAATAGTGCCAGGGTGTGAATACTTCTGCAAGGCGTGGCTCCTTAAAAGCTGTTATTTCACAGGGAACAAGAAACGTACCTCATGTGTTTTAGTAAGCCGTAGGCTTCAATCAAGGAGTGCACCATACTTGCCTAAAATTGAAAAGAAAAATAATCTCCAATAGAAGGCATTATTTGGAACAAACACAATACAACTTCAGTCTAGGCTTTTCCTTGGCCAGAATCACCTTTGCTGGATGGACTGTGTTCTGGATTTAAATGCACTAATGTCAAGCATTCCAAACAGCAGGTGTGTTCAGAGGCTCATGAACATAAACGTATGCATTTCAGTCATGTGCACACTGTTGTAATTAAAATACAGAACCAGTCCCCCTTACGAGTTTAGAAACCACTAATAAACCGTGAACATACTATACTTTTAATTCCAAAACGATGATCTGCTTCTGCGCCTTGATGTTTACGGTTTGATCTGTTTTTGTTATTATATGAGCTGATTTCACTTCCTGTTACTGTTTTATTCGTGGGCAGTAGGGTTACGATTTACATGAAGGCACTATATAAAACAAAGATTACCGCAATAGACACACGTTTTCTATATCAAAGTCATGCGATCGATTTTATATATTATGTCGAACACTTAAGGTGTTTCGCTGCGTGGTCCTTAAATCATAATTTCTGCTTTCGGAAAAGTATAGTATATACGTTCGAAAACCAAGTGAATGTGATTCAGTATTTGGAGTCGTTGTGTAACAACGCCTTATTGAAAACCATAACAATAGCATCTATTGTGACAAAAACGGATTTTGAAGAATTATAAGAGCGATCCAAAAGAAAAATAAAGTTTTATTATTCTGAGCTGAGAACCTAATTTAAAGAACAAAACAACATTTTTTTTAGTGCGACTTACCCTTTTGGGAACTTTAGCTAGTGAATCACAGGTTTCGATTAATTCCGGGCTGTAAACATAAAGCACATTGTGATTACAGCTGTTGACAGTTTCTGGACTTTTAATATTCATTGAAATAGTTTGCACGTTATTTTTTATCCAAATCAAATAGCCGAAGCACCGCGGGAAGCGTGTCTCACTCAAAACACTCCCTCCGACTCCTGAAACAAGAGCACGTCAAATGGTGACCACATTTGTTTTAATATTAAGAAAATTCGACGTTTTTATGTTAATAAATTAAAGAATTTAGGAGTTTTCCCAAAAGTAATGTATTTTAGGGTCTCTTTTATTTTTAAATTAACTTCTAAAATAATAAATAATAACTAAAACAATTCCAAGACCATAAATACGTTTCTGGAACGCCTGCTTCCCTAAAGGACGCGATTTTGCTAGGCCCCCTGGGAATTGAAGTCCATTCTGAATGTCAAAAGGCAAAGTATATTTCTCATATCCCAGTTGGTCAATACATTTGTAAACGAATTCCATATCACACAGAAAAAAAACATACTGCGTAACTGAGCCCATCTAACACAGAAGGCTAATTTGTATGGGTTATCACTCCGAAACATAGTATTTCAGAAAGGTATGAAGATGTGGGATCGAGTGTCTCTTTCTCAGTCATTAGCGCTTAAATGTTCTCTCTCGAATTCCCTGCCAGCTTGGGCACCGCCGCGAGAAAGCGGCTTTTTTTTCCTTTCATACTTCCATAGGTGTCATGTTAAGTGAATAAAAATAAGGACGTAATTCAGTTTTCCCCTTTTATGCACGCTTTGGGATACGTTTTGATGAACATACAAACTACACAAAACACAAGGGATTATTATTTCAACCATCTGGCTTTAGAGTCACTCACACGTCACCTAAAGGAGGCAGGTGTGATCCTGGTTCTGGAGGGCCAGTGTGCGTCTGTGGGTTTTCATTCTAGCTCAGATTTTAACAGTGTGAAGCAGCTCTTTATGGCTAAATTGGAGCACTTTAACAGAATCACTCAGGTTTTTGGGTGCCATTGCTTGCAAGAGACATAAAAGATTTGCAATTTACAGAGAAATCTGTTTTACTCTATATATATTAGCTGCTGTATGTTCCACATGTGACTAAGAGACACTGCATACAAAAGCTGGGATAATGACCATATTCATTCAGGCTCAACATCACTTGTGACCTTTGCCCCAGAAGAGCTCTGCTGCTTGGCTCTTTCCCTTGTCAGAAGGCCTGGAGTGTTCTCTGGCATGCTGTTCAAACTGTTTGTTTCACAAGGTAGCTGCTTTTCATTGGAGCACAGTTCCTCATTTCTTTTCTTCCTTCTGATGTTTTTATCACACCATCACAAGTTGCCAAGCTGTGGGAAAAATTAAAAAGCTTCCCTTCTCCTAATCTGAAACTTTATTCAACTTTATCCCTGCATTGTTCGGGAAGCTAGTCTGGTTGAGTGTATTCTGAAAGTTCATCACCTGACCAAGGAACCTCACAGAGAGTTTAAGTTTTTTTTCTGAAATCGTGAGGTCTATTATTGCACGCCAAGGCCACTCAACTAACTGTGTGGCTCAAAAAGGTAATTTTGTACAATTTACAATGTAAATACTCAATCACAACTTTTTCCTTTTTACTTTTGTATTATCTCTTTCTTTTATTTTTGCTTGAGTGTGTGGGGCAGGCTGTGTAAATACCAACTACTAACTGCTATTTCAAAATGTGATGACTGCAAGCTTAAAAGCAACAGACAGTGAAAATAGTGCCGGGGTCTGAATACTTCTGCAAGGGATGGCGTGTGGCTCCTTAAAAGACATTACATGATGAGTAAGGTAGTGCTTCAAACTGGAGTGACACAAACAAGCTGTTGCAAACCATATCAGATATCACAGGAAATCCATTAATGTACTCCTGTGACATTATAATGGCAAACCTATCGACAGCGACAACAAGATTATTAATGTTTTTTATAGAGCTTTAAAATAAGTAGCCATATCACCCTGCAACTCACAATTGGCAACCCACTGAAGTTAAGCAGGTGTGAACATGATCAGTACCTGGATTGGAGATCTCCTGGGAAAAACTAAGGTTGCTGCTGGAAGAGGTGTTAGTGAGGCCAGCAGGGGGCGCTCACCCTGCATTTGGAGTGGGTCCTAATGCCCCAGTATAGTGATGAGGACACTATACTGTAAAAAAGCGCCATCCTTCAGATGAAGTGTAAAACGGAGGTCCCGACTCTGTGATAATTAAAAATCACAGGGTGTTTCTCAAAAAGAATAGGGTGTTACCCTGGTGTCCTGGCCAAATTTTCTCCTGGCCTTTACCAATTATGGCCTAAAAATTCATACATCTGATTAAATAGGGTAGTTGTACTTGTATGCCTGTGCATAATTTAAGGGATTTACTTCTGTAAAAACTGGCATGTCTCACATCCCTAGGAGGTGCATGTGCCCCAGGTCAAGAATCACTGGCATATAGCTTAATGAAGACCTGAAGAAAATACAGGTAATGTTAACTGTCCATTTAGATGCTCAGAACTCTCACTCCCCAAAAGAGACCACAGACAACATCATTCTTTTGTAGTTTTATTTCAAGAAGGTTTCAAACACTGCCATATAAACCTTCAGCTGCTTTCAAAAGCAGCAGCAAAAAACAAACTACTAGACACCTGAATTTAGTTATTCCAGCACAAGCATTTTGTTTCTGTTAAAACAAAAGGTGAAATTGTGCATTCTTCAACAGAAAAACCAGATACCTCACAAGATGACAGAGAACAGTAGCAGTTTCTAAGATCTCTTCCACAGACTTTCCGTTACCTAATACTGAAGGTTTTATTGGATTTGTTTACTGTAATTACAGAGTTCAGAAAATGTCATCTTCAATGAGAGACTCCTTCCACTGCTGCTGTGCTAAGACACCAAGGCCTAAACAAAAAACAATGACAAAAGGCACATCTATTTCTCTTTTGGAGGAGTGTGAGGTTTTAAATGGTTTAAGAATTAATCGAACATAAGAAGAATGCTATCACCTTGCTTTAGTACTGGTGAGTTTCGCAGGTAGGTCAATTTCACACAGCTCAACCACGTACTTAAAACCTCTGACAATACAAACATTGAACCAGACAGTTTTGGGTACAACTTCACTAGTGTTTTTTTAAACAAGAGACAAATGGCACGTTATCAAATAAACAAGGAAGAAGCTTCTTAATCATTTTCAACTTTTCCAATACTGCCTGAAATTGATTTCAGCCACACTCAACCAAATCCCACCCTCTTCAAAAACAAATGCTAGCAATTGCAGTAGAACATTGTTGTCAGAACAAATACGACTGGGACAAAAAATACCAGAAGTGATTGAATCTTTATCCTGATTTCAAAACAGGGCAATAAGACTGCTGAACAGCCAGCCACAGCAGCCACCAGCAATTACCCAAACAACCACTGATAGTCAGTTCACTGCATTTTTTTTCACTGCGGTTTTTTATTATTGTGTAATGTTGTAGATGTATAATTCTCCTTGTAACCTTCCATCAAATTCTGTCCTCTCTTTGGCGAGCTTGCGGAAAATGCACTTCACTGCCGACAACCACCGCTGTATGCTGTAATGTTGTACACTGATAAATAAACCTTGATTGATTGAATAAATCTTGATTAATTACTGCCATGTTTTCTCCCAAAAATTAGTTTTAACTGTTTAGTTACAAGGTAAAATAAACACATTCATTCACCATTTATATGCTTGTTCAGAAATCAGAAGTACCAAATGTGGGAGAACATCATGTTTTAAATGTTTCTTGTGCAATTAGAAAGTATCAGGCTGTATAGAACATTCTACCTTGCACACTTTAAAAAAAGTAATTCAAAATAAAAGAGGGGTTTGTCTGGGTTTATTCTAGTCCACAATTAAAAAGGATTAAGAAAAATTGTAACAGACGTTTTCAAATCACTTCCTACAAATTCTGAAAATATTTCCCTTTTTCCTCCCTTTAAACGAGCAAAAAACGTACACCTGAAAACAGCTTTAAGGCTTTCATTTTAATTTGCAAGTCTGTAATCGTTGCAAACAGCAGAAAGTAAGAAAATAAGACATGCTAGTATTGTAAAACACGCGTTTCACACAATTAGCCAAAACTATTCATGGACACAAACATCTACTTTGGCTTTTAAGAGTGTAATTGTAAAAAAAGACAAGAATTCTGTAGTGATTAGTCATTTTTTCAGCTTTTAAAATGATCAAGGCTTTCATGTCTCAAAAGCTTAACCACGTGTGAACATGTGGGAAGAAAAGATTTTTCACTAAGACTGTCTGCCCGTCTGTGCACAGCTGACAAGATTGTGTCTTCCTACAATGAAAATGAATTAAACCTGTCCATGTGAACCAAGGAGAAAAACTCCAGTTTTACAACCTCTGTATGGGGTCGTGCAAATTCTGTGATGAAAGTCCTCAACTTTTAAACTACAATTATAGAGATGCTACACTGCCCACATTTCTTCTCTTTATTTTTCCCTTGTTTCATAGTCCCCTTCAGAAATATTCTGGGTTAAAGCTAATGACAACATGAAAAGAGGCTTCTGAAGGGAGTTTGGAAACATGGAACAGGAAGTGCACAGGGGAAGAAAAACAGTGTAACACAAGTTGGCATTTAGCACTAAAAATGTTACTGTTCCAAGAATAGAGTGCTTCTTTGTGAAGGGCAGTGTGCACATATTGAAGGATTTACAGTTAATTACAGTTAAATGACAGGGTGATACATAGCTGACCTCATAAAATATGAAGTTGCAACTAGATATGCTATAGCTGGATGAAAGTAAACCTACATTCAAATATTACATACTCATGCTGACATACAAAGTGACCAAAATGAAAATTTCTGGTACACTAGGGTAAGGAAGTCCCCCCCACCTATAAAATATAGCCTATTATTGTTTGAGGTTGGATACATTCATGCAGCAAAGTGTGTTTCTGCAGATAGCCGGTCGTCTTATCTGCGTTTCTTACTTAGGCACACATAATTGAGGGGGTTTCAGAGAACCAGATTAAGGTTAAGGACCTGCACCACTCAGAACCAGAGGGGCGTTTTCACTTCACTCCTCCATTTCTTAATTCCTTAATGAAGCCAACGGTTTGCTGCATGAAACAAATGAAGCTTCTTATCCAAGTGCTAAGCAGCTGATGACTGAAAGACAGCTGCAGGGCCACGGGTCCTTCAGGAGCAGGGCTGTCCTCTCGTCTGCCCCCCCCCCACTGCAGTCTCACTGCATGGCACAGGTGCTGCTGGGCAGGAAGTCCTGTACATAGGTAGCCACTGCCTTGGAGAGGTAGGTCATGCTGCCAAAACGGCCACTAGGGGCGCTGTCGTACAGCAGCTTGCAGATGCCAGTGGCCTGGTCCTTCTCTAGAATGCTGTCATCTGCACCCAGGTCTCTCTGTGGAGGAGAGATGAAGACCAGACAAGCCTCTTTAGAGGAAACACAAAACCCAGAAAACTCAGACACTTTCAACAGCAAAACCAAATCCACAAAGCATTATTCAAAGCAAGCAAACTGTATAGGTATACCCTTACTGCATCGCTATACCAATTTCTGGGTTTCTAACAATCAAGCCCGTATAGTCCAAACTCTTTAGAAGTGGTTTCAATACTTGAGACATTTTACAAATAGATCATGCTTAGTCGTAGCTTCACTTTTTTTTTAAATTAATATTCTAGATAATGGTAGCATGGTATCCTTTAATAGCTTATTCTCCAAATTATATTATGTGCATCAGTTTAAATCAATATGCATTTCAAATCTGAGCATTCAGAAAACAACAGAAAACGATATATCCGTAAGATATCTGTATTCACAGAGTTTTCCAGGCTCTCGCTGCATAACATATATTAGTTCTGCAATACTGAATGTATTAAATATGGGCTTCTTCAGTGAAAGTGGGCACACACCCGTTTTGTAAAAAAAACAAACTAAAATCTAAGAACGCTTAAGGAGAAAAGTGAGGGGAATTTAACTAAAGGAATTTTTCACAGCAGGCCCTTGTGTTCAGCTAGTAATTCTCTTCAAAAGACGAGACAGCAGACGAGAGAGAAAGAGAGCGAATTTCGAACAACAGCTGCAGGGTGTGACTCCCACAGCGAGCCGTCACCGAAAAACATGGCCGGACCCCCTTTCGGAAAGCTTCCCACTGGCACTTGTTCCCCCCACCCCAAGGGAAAAGACCTGGGCAGACCTGGTCGTGGTAGAATATGTCATTGGCGATGTGGACGATCTTCTCCACGTGGATGATGCCCCCCATGCTGTGGACGTCCATGTCCGCCAGCATGGTCAGGACCAAGATGGCCTCCACCAGTAGCTGGCGGTACTCCGGTTGGGGGACTCGGTTCAGCACCGACTCCACGTGCACCGAGAACTTGATCTCGCCCGGAGTCATCTGGAAAAGGGGGTGGAAGCCGGTCATTTCCTCAAACAATCCCCACGGTGCCGTTTGTGAACTTTGTACGTACTTTTTTCTGCTGATGCTGAAGTATTTTAAAGGACAGACATACAGAGCTGGTTTGAACCGGAATGGAAGATGGCTAGAGACAAAGGCTACTATGTAATTCTATACTGTGTTATATAGGGAAATTAAGTAACCAACTGCATTAAAAGGTTGTCTTTGACAAGGAAGCGAAGGAACAGGGAAGAGGAAGATGATCTTTGAATGCTACCAATCTGATTAGCACAGGGAAGTGTGATAGATAACAGAAAAATATTAAAGGTCTGTTCTAGTTTTATTGCTTTGAGAAAAATACACCAAGCATCTCTGTGTGTTTCAGTCCCCTGCGCATTAAATAAATACTCCTTTGAACTCCTGTCTTTTAAGAGGAAGTTGACAAATTTCTCCAACAGTTCATACAGGAGGGTTTGACAGTTACAACCTACTTAAATCAGGCAACTATTAAAGAAACCACAGTTTTTTATAAAACTGCGATTAAAACTGTTGCATTTTAGTTTCATGGCAATATAGGTACTTAAAAAAAGCCTCAGTTAACTGTATTATGTGGAGGGATTCTAAGTTTAAGAAATAATTAATAGAGAATCCTAATACAAGCCATTTGATATCTATTGTCTTGCACATTCAGGGCCAACCCTAAAATTACTGTTTGTCAAACCAGCATCTCCGCTATCTGAGCTGCCAGTAAGAGCTACTTTCCTTCTCTCATGCTTTTTTAGCTCAGATCACCAACATGCTAGAGAGCTGAAAAGGTTCAGCACTTTCTCTCTTAACAAGCCTGAAATCTGAAACTGCCCACGCAGCACTGAACCATCTGTCAGAACTGTTCCTTTCCACACTCAAACTGGAATTTGCATCACTTTCCTCTGAGTATTTTAACACTAAGGGCATTACCTCTCTGGTGGTGGACGACGGGAGGACAAAGCCTTCGATGGACAGCCCGTGACACTGAGGAAATAAAAGACACCATCATGTGTGATTGAGCAGTATAAAAGCACAGATTGATTCTACCTGGGTTCAGGCTGACTCCAGGTGGATACGAGTTTGAAATATCCATCCATCTTCTAACGTCTTTTTCCAGTACAGGGTTGTGGGAGAGCAGGAGGCTATCCAAAGAGGAAGGTGGGATACACCCTGGACAGGAGGCTTGTTAAAACTTGTCTGTGTTTTCCTTTGCAGGGTAAACAGACACAAACATGCACACGCTCACTCCATGAGAGAAGTTTCCCAGAAGCCAATTAACCTACCAGCATGTCTTCTGTGGGAGGAAACCCATGCAAACGTGGCGAGAACATACAAACTCACAGATATGCAACCACTCTGCGCAAGTTTGAAATATGAAATTACAAAAAGATGATAACTGTTCATCAAGAGGTAATATTGACTATTTGTTTTATTCCATGATGAAAAGAAGAGACATAACCTTTCCACTGTGGAGACTTCTTCATGTGTGCTGGAGTAAACGAAACATTGTGCCTCTTCTCTTTTCAGCATGGAACAAACCTTTACTTGTTCCTTTGCAGCCTACGCATGCTGACGTAGCTACCTACTTGAACATATTGACTATGTGTTGCTAACAGATCTAGTGTTCAGGTCTTAGATGAATTTGATGTCTGCATTGATAGTAAATTATCTACAGTAAATTACTTTACAGGTTACTGTTTATGTACTAAGAGGCATTTCTCAAAAAATGGTCAACTGAAGAAAAGGTGATCCTAAATACGAAGGCTTCGATTTTGTCCCCCCTGAGAAGGACAAGGTTCGGTTCTGAAGTGTGTGCTGACAACAAACACCTCTGAACTGATGTTGACATAGTTCTGAGGCCCATCCAGGGCCACTCCTGCTCTCGGCTGCCACACCGGGCGACGGGGCAGACTCACCTTCTGCAGGATTTTCCAAACCTTCTGGTAGAAGCCCACCGGCACTCTGTTAAGAGCTCCGTCCAGCCTCCTGCGGCGAAGCCACTGGCCCTGTCGAATGTCCCGGGCCGGAGGCCCAAAGGGCTCTTGGGGAAAGCTCTCAATGGCCAAACTGCACGATTTCTAGAAACGCAAAGATATAAAACAGGGCCATTGCGGTGGTCGCTTTCTCTGGCTTTCACAGGGCAGTTCTGAAAATTCTAAATTGTAGTTCCCAGACTGACATTTTCACACAAGCTCAATCACGTTTCTTGACTTGTTGTTTAAGAAAAAGCTACCGATTTGTCCCCCGTTTCGGAACACTGCCTGGAAGACATTCTGGTTCGAATATGTTTTTTTTAACATGAGCCCAACATAATTTACCCAGGCCCATGCCTACCAGAGCTCAATTCTACTACCCCCGTTAAAGCCCTTTTCTTTAGTGGCATGCAGTGACGTTTGATTGAGCTACAACCAACAAAAAAATGGCTGACAGAAACTACCCTGTTAACTTTTGGGCTCATAGAAATCAAATATTTAAAAACGTCACCCAGAATTAAGGAGCGACAATCACATTTTCCACATCTCCAGGTGCTCCATTTTGAGTGGAGCCCAATGCAACACACTGCCAGCATTTCAACCAGCACTTCCTCCGCTGATGAGCTACATTACTGCCAATCAGCAGCTGTTCCCTTCCTTCAAGAGAGAGTGCGGTCTGAACAGTCCAAAACACATCCCTGGAGCCCAGCGTCACCACGGCCTTTCCAGCTCAGTGATGTTCCACCCCTTTGCCACAGAACAAGATCTCAAGGACTCTTACTGTGGATTCACTGTAATCCAGGTCGGATGGCTGTGCAGTGGAAGGCTGCAAAACAGAAAGGAATCTTAAAAAAAAAAAAAACAACTGTACAGCACAGGCTCTCCGAAAGGCTATTTGGGATTTCTAAACACTCCCAAGCTAGCACAGAGCCAACCTTTCTCATTGATTTAGGAACTAATTTGCCGAATGAACTGTACTCTCCTCACTGATGTGACTGACCTGAAAATGCAAGAGTGTCGAGTGGCTGCATCTGTAGAATGTTTCAGTGATGTCTGATTGAAACCCTGCCGTGAAGAAAAGGTCTTTCTAACCTCAGTAGAAAATAGCACATTCGGCTTTACTCTGAACAGCGGGAAGCACTTTGGCGAATCGCGTTTGTCAGATGTCAAATTTGAAAAAAGAGGGATCACGTTCGCCTTAGTCGAGATCAATAATACTGAAAGGACTGACTTGTGTCCTCTGCAGAGCCGGCAGTGTTTAGATCTTTAGGTTTGTGCTGTACACAGATAAAGCAAGCCCCCTGATATCACAGAGCATTATCAAGCAATTAAAATGCCAGATCACGCATTTCAGCTGCTGAATTAATTAAAACATTACAAAATTACAGGCAAATAATTGTTACAGGCAGCAGATCTTAAAGCCTTCATTGTTAAAGCCAAGGCTCAAATACTGTAGATGTAACCAGATGAGCCTGAGGACCACTGCTTCAGGGGCAATGTGAATAAGGCACATGGATTAGGTCTGGATAGTTAGGAATGCAGCATCATTGTTCTTCCATCGTGGCTATAAAAGCTGTTTGTCACAACCTGCCAAGCACTAAAGGAACAATTATCCGAGAATCCAGCCGCAAAATTAACTGAGAAAGTGAGGAAGACGTGGTTTTAGTCATTTCCCTGCCCAGCTGAGCCAGTGGAGTGGCGCATGCAAACCTCCACCCCAGGTGATGTATGGCACTCCACCAGGGGCTGTGCTGAAGTCTTTCGCTCACTGCTCATCCTCATCCTCGCCCCTCGCGCTAGTGACGTAGGAGAACAAAGCCTGCTTTTCTCCAACTGCAGTTTGCAGCCACAGCCTCCGGGACTACAAGAAGAACTACAGAAGAGCAGTCAGCCCGGAGTTCAGCACAGCCTACTGTAAGAGGCCAGGTGAATTACCACCCAGGCCGTATCAGACCAATCACCTTACGTGTCCCGAACAACGACAACCTACGCTCCTCCATCTGCAAAGCAAAACAGAACCAGATGTTTAAACATCACGCACGCAGCCAGAGTGGCATATCTGCAATGCCCACCCTGGTGCCAGTTTACCACAGTAAACCAGCAGCAGGCCAGCAGGGTAGCTGTGTACTTTACCGTGAGCTTCACCTGAGTTGTTTCTCCATACTTGCCACTGGTGTAAAATGCTTTGCAAAAAACACCAATGGAGATTGCATTTGCTATGGTAAATCCTGGTATTATTTCTGTGATATAAGCTAGATTAGAGCCTCACACATGTTACAGTATTTATCTCCCCACAGTTCACATACCTGGATTGAGTATACTATGGAGTTTTTATGAAATCACTAACGTAGCTTCAGTACCTTAAAGTTTTTAATGAACTGGGACTTTGTGAAGGCACGGTGTTTCCATGCACAGATCTCAGTCATTGGATGATGTGTTCCTCATTCATGAAGCTTGCTATCAACTCCACAGACATGTCAGTGTTAACACCTTGTACCTCTGTTTTGTGGGGTCTTGGAAGCTCAGCAAGGCCAATGCTGGGATGGGAGACTTTCAGGGAAATCCAGATTGTTGCTGTAAGTGGACCATTAGCTGGGGACTGTTAGAACTATCCTCTACTATGTGGATAGGGCAGTGTATAACTCATTCAGTGCTGAGTAATGAGGTGCTTTTTGCAAGAGGATCTCTGGATCTACCTGTTTCATGTCGCTCTTCAGCTTGTTGATGCCCACCCTCTCGCTCTTGGTGGCCCCCACGTTGCCCACCTCGTGTATCGAGATGGCCGTGCTGACCGCCGAATCCACAGAGCGGACTGCAAAACAAGCACAGTGCCTTACGCCCCTGGAGACAGGCAGAGACTCCACAGGATTACCTTGGCAAAGGTCTGTTGGAATCAATCCTGGGTGTGTTCAACGAAGCAGAGCATTGTACTGTGATGGAAACAAGAACTGACACCGAAAAGCAAAAGGGACAAGCAGAGGATTTAAAGAGGATTGTGACGAGACACAGCATGAGTGGTTTTTGAGGAACAGACAAGAAAATGAAGTGGTCTGATGGCATTAGCAACACTGCAGAAATCAAAATGAAGACCAAGGAGAAGGTGAAACAAGTCTAAAGTGCCCTTATAATCCTAGATTGAGTAATGTTGATTACATATTTTTTGGAAAATAGGAAACCATCACCCGAAACGTTTGGAGACTGCTCCTCTGACTGTAAGCTAATCTTATAAAGCACGCTGGGCTCATGATACATTATGTAGTGCTATGCCTTTTGAACACACCCTTAATGAAGCTCTACAACACTGCGAAGTGAGACCTATGCACTCAGATTCAGGTGGAATTCTGATGAAAATAGGTGGAAGGATGGGTTAATGGAAGTTTAAACTGCAATAGTATCTCAATCTTTTATCTGTCTGCAAAATTCCGACAGCTGGACACTGAGTCAGCAATGTCCTGGATCCTGCAGCCTTTCTCCCTGAGCTCAGCTGATGACAGCTAAAGAATCAGGAAAAGGTCCCTAAACCGGAATGCAGTTCAAACAGGGGACATGTGAGTGACAGTGGGGTGTTCCTAAGCTCCTGGGGTTACTGACCGCTTTTCTCCACCCCAAACTCCTTCCCGCTCAGGATGTGATGGAGCAGGTTCTTCAGCTCAGAGGGGCTGAGGCTCATCAGACTCTCTGTGGCCTCTTCACCTGGAACACGAGGAGACAGATGATCAATGCATTTCCCATTAAAATCTGGCTCGTTTCAGCTCCTCCCCACCACCACAGACACACAACCACTGCACGGAGGAAAAAGCAACCAGTGGCTGTCGTACCTCAAGATACCGACCCTGTGGGATGAGAAGCTAAGCAAAACTGGTGTGGTCACCACTCAAATGGGAGGGAACGGGAAGAAAACCCAGGACTCTTCCCACTGTATGAGAATCCCACACCTACATTTAATCTTGGAAGATGGCAAAGGCCACTCCACTGGAAAAACGTCATCTCAGCGTCCGTGACAGTCAGACAGTCAATGCCAGTACCTGAACAGTTGAGCGAGTGGGCGAGCTCGGTGGCCATGACCTGGATGATGAGCCCGATCCGCAGGCGGAACATCTCGCTGAAGAGGGAGGGCTGGGTCCTGATGTTCATCGCCAGGTACACCATAATCTCCTGTCAGCAGAGGGATGATCAGTCTTGTCCATCAGTTCCGATTCTCCCCCAACAGCCTGACTGCGCCCTGACCACTGACCATGAGCAATCTTAACCCCAACATCTTTATTCCCACCGGGCCGTATTAAAATGAGCACCCACTAACACACTGAAAGTGTCCCCTTTGCCTTCATTTCTGCATTATCTATATTAGCCTGACCTATTTAATTTGTGTTTTTCATGGTAACACCATCAAAGTCATACCATCAAAGTGTCCAGTTCCCAACTAATTGCTTAGTTAATATTTCAGCACTAACTACAGGTCAGCACAAGGAACCTCTGTGAAAGGGACTTTCCAGTTCATTTATTCTAGTCACTATGATTATTTTGTTTTACACAAGTATGGCACAAACCCTTGATTTGCCACAATCGGACCATCGTTTTCATTTAACACAGATGTTTTCTTGAACTTAACACCCGCTGGAGCAACACCTCTGCTCCAACGTGACATTTCCCTCACACCTTCTGTAAGAACTGGCACTTCTACATACGCAGACAAAAGGGATGAAACTGACAAATATATTCTTGATTATTAGAACTGTAGAACACAGCCACATCTTGGAACTATTGCTATTTTGGGAACATGAAAGACTAACCCACAAAGACTTTCTTCCATCTCTCCTGAAAAAGGGAACTGACTTGCATCGTACAAAGTCCAGCAGAGGGCACCCTTAGTTTATATCAACTTGCTGCTAATATTGTTTTGCTACTGATGACAGGTGTGAGTGGCTTTGTTCCTCGTCATCCCATGTCTAACCCTGAAAGTCCCACAGATAAGAAGCACAAGGAGTTTGTGAATGGACAGCTCCCCCCTGTGGCCACTGACCTGAGTCAGCACGGCAATGGTGATGCTCTGGTCACTCGCTTCATCAATTAGTTTCATCAGCACATCGGGAGGCAAGGGCCTGTGGGGAGATAAGACCAGCAAGCCTGTTCTTAGAACATCACATGGAAACACCATAGGTTTAGGACTGCTCCCAGGCAGAAGGGTACTTCCTGAGAAGGAAAAGGTAACCGCCAAAGCAGAACTGACAACTAACTGGATAAGGCTAAAACAAGTAGTAGGCGAATTCAGTGAAGCAAGCTTTTACTTTGGGCAATTTGGTGCCTTCTGTTCTCAAAAACGCCATATTTAAATCCTCAGACCTCCACTTCAAAAGTGAGGTTCTCATCGTGTTGCTCACCGAAAGCACTGCACTGACAGATTCTATTGTGCAGTGCTGTAATGCAGGATGTAACACTTACGCTACGATGGTCTTCTCTCGGGGCTCAGGGGGCAGACCCACGGTGAGGTGCTTTTGGTGTGCCAGGAGATCTGAGCAGGCCTGCAACCAACAGAACCAGTCTTTCATACTGCACTGTTCTTCTCCACTTTTTTTTCTCGAGATGGGAGCCATATGACAGTTAAAAGCAGAATTTGGATCCATGAGAAAGAACAAAATCCTTTACACAATGAGTCAAATAGGTACCTTGTACAAATTTTACCTGATGTCAGTAATTAGAATGATATGACATTGTGCAGTTGCAAATTTAGGTCTACCCACTTCGTATCCTACAGCAAATCTTTTTTTGTAAAATCTTTTTACAAAATCTTTCTACTTTGTAGAATTCTCCATGTCTGGCTTTTCTGAAAAGTTCACTCTAGTGCTGCCATCGTTCGCCACATCACCGATATAAAGGAGGGCTGAGTTACTGAGGTAGCCATGCACATCCAGACCACCATGACATTATCTCCACCATGCTGCAGATTTGTTTCTGAAGCACAAAAAGGAGTTTTGGAACAAAGTTTTATGGGCACAGAAGACCGAGATAAACCAATCGCCAAAATAAAGGAAGTTCAGAGAAAAGAAATAAACAGCAAAAGGAACTTCCAAAGAACATCACCTCATCTGTGAATGACAGTGGGGGTCAAGCCATGACCTGGAACGGACTCACTTGTCGTGAATTATGACGTAACTGAAGATGGCAGCAGCAGAATGAAATCGTGAAGTTTACAGAAACACTTTATCAGCTTGCGTTAGTCGAGTGGTGCTTCAACATGTGGCACGACAATGACCAAAGACACCCAGCCAATGCAACTCAGGAGTTCGTCAAAAGAAAAAAAAAAAAGGTGAGCTAAATGGATGGCAGATTTTTTGGAATTATTGGTGCAGAGGGATATGCAACCAAACACGGACTTTAACACTGACTCACAAATCTCAGTGTTGCCCAATACTTACAATCACTTGAATTAATTAGGTTGAACACAGACATGGTTTTGTTCTAGCATGATCACATGGATGCATGGAACTATCCAAAAACAAAATGTGTGTTACAATGGATTTCTGAATCATATCAATGAGCACATCTAGACTGCAAAGCACAAGCAGTGGTTTTGACTTTGCTCTTCTAATACGTTTGGAGGCCTGCTGAGATTACCTCATCCAGCCCCTCCACCTTCTTCTTCAGCATGCCGGAGGTCATGCGGATGAGACCCCACTGACGCACTGTGCCAGCCTTGGTGTACAGTTCAACCAGCAGGTTCTGGACCGTGGTGCCCGTGCCGTAGAGCTGTGTATCCCAGTCTGCGCCCCTGAGAGACAACACAGCATGACACTGTGGCATGGGAGGGCCTGAGCCACTGAAGAGCACAGCAATAGATCTACACGTCTGACCATTCTGCTTCACGGGGATGGAATGTCACTAGGGGCAGGACTCATTTTTGGATCTTATATCTCCTGAACACCTCCACTGAGATATTTCACATTTTTCTACTCAGATTATTCCACTGTGACAGACTTCTCCCCAACCCAAAAAGTTTCTAGAAACTATTCTCCAAACTGACCGAGAGGAGAGACCCCACTCGTGGCAACAGATGCGTACAAAAACACAGCTTTCTCAATGGACCCTACAACCTTGTGTGATACTTATAGTACACAACTGAACCACACACCTGCTTTACCAGCCTGTATTTATGCTTCGGGATGCAGTAATGTGTCACTAAATGCAGCTTAAAACTGGCATCTAGCGGGCAGGGGTGTAGCCTGAGGTGTTGCCACCCCATTTTAAGCGTAACCTAAAATCCCATACTGTCTTAAATTTACCAGCAAAAGAAAACTTAACCGTAGGAAACAATTGTGATGCACCTTGAATGTTTTTTTTTTTATAAGAGTGGACGTGTAGTGAAACATAATTAGCTATTACGGACATGAATATACACCATTTAGTAGTACATCCTATTGTAGAAGGCAAATATTTGAAAAATCCACCTCAGATATAAAAACCTGGGGTTATAAAAGGTTTAATCAAAAACAAGTTTGAAAAGGACTTGGCTAAAGATCTCACTTTCCTGAAGCTGTATACCCTATGTCCTGTTTAATGAATTGCAAATTATTTATTTAATAATTACTGCTTCTTTTCATGTTTGTGAAGAGATTACATGACATTATAATGGTGAGCACATGGATATACCCGTCTGAAGTATGAAATTGCTCAAGGGACGAGAGGCTCACTTCTTGTTGAAGAGGATGTACAGGATGTCGGCCTGGTCCTGGAGGCTGGGACACTCTCGCAGCTGTTCCACCAGAGCCCGGTAGTCGATCTCCCCCGCTGAGTCTCGGGGCAGACACATCTCTGAGGTCACAACCCGAGGGCCCTGGAGGGGAGACGAGCAGAAGGATTGGCGTTTCACTCCGCCAGCCAGTGACCCTACTCCATCAGTACAGGAACCATTGAGACGAAGATAAAGAAGTTCCACCAGACCGAGCACAGAATGCAGCACAAACAGAAAAACTGATCTTGGGAACCGTGGAATGCTTTAGCCTTCTGGAATATAGGTGGGAAGTTTAGCTTGTTAAGAACCGAGTTAAAGTGAAAATCCATACACACTGGCTGTCCAGGTCCAGGATTTGAAAGCCCTGTTTTAAGTCATGTAATGTAGTAATATAGGCACTGGACAAGACCTTCATTCAGACATCTGCACTGTATTCTTGAGCAGGAAACTCTGCCTTGATTGCTCGAGCACAATTGGGAGGACAAATATTGACAGAGGCCTCTCGGCTGAACCAGTGCTACAAAACTGGGAAAAACTCCAAACCGATAAGGAACAGAGGCTCCAGCAGGTTCGCCCAAGCATGTGAGACAGTGTGGTGCGTACCTTGGTGTCGCTGGACAGTGGGGACTCCAGGAGATTGAGAGAGGGCTGGGGAGCGTGGAATAGCTTAGTAGGAAGGAACATGTGCAAATCTGGAACAAGGAGAATGGTTCATGTTAGCAGCCACAAGGCCAGAGTGTGCTTTTCTGTAATAAAAAGACCATAATTAATAGCAATTATTTTAAAACAATTATTTGACAAAATAATAAATACAGTGGTGTGAAAAAGTGTTTGCCCCCTTCCTGATTTCTTATTTTTTGCATGTTTGTCACACTGAAATGTTTCAGATCATCA